CGCTTTTCGCAGAGAACATGGGCGTGTTCCCAACTGATTTCCTGGGCTTTGTCTGCAAGGGAGCCCTTCTTGCGGCTTGCGGTTCAAGGAAAACTTGGAGCGATGGGACCTTGTTCCCGAGGCCCCGCCTTCTGCCACCCAGTGGCCCAGAGCTGATCTCCAGATTCATAGGGAGCAATTGATTGCTAGTTCCTTGGACATGCATATTCGTTGGCCCACTTGAATGAGGCCGAGTGCTACCTGGAGAGCGTCAACTCACGGCTAGGTCAGGGCTGAAGTCCTGAGTTTCCTCATGGATCAAATGCGGCATTCAGATGGCCAGTTGAAATGCGTTTGAATGCCAACTCTGCAGGGCACTTTGAATCCACGCGTTTGTGTGTGTGCCAACCCCTTGCATGGGGGATGCGTGCGAGGGCGGAACAAGTCGCCGGAAGCCAAAAGCCGGGGGCTTGCTGCGTTTGCATGAGAGGCAGTCACAGAATAATCTGATTTTTTGAGGGAAGCAACGATTCGAGAACGGACCACGGGCAGAGGAGTCAGACAGTTTTTTTTTTTTGCAAAAGTTGAGATCGATTCACAGGTGGCCTTTTTTTCCCTTGAGACGATCGCCACTTTTGGATCCTTGAAAAACACCAGCCCCACCTGAGTTTCAAGGGGGAAAAACTTTTGGAGGTTCCAAAAAGGGGACATGGCGCGGAAGACTCCGTCGGAGACCCCTGGGGACTTTGGGGGGTGGTCTGACAGGCCCGGACGAGCTACGCCAGCCCGCGGAGATGCGGGGGCCTGAGGGTCGAGTCGCGTCGAGTCGAGTCGAGCGGGGTCGCTTAAACCAAAGGGAGCCCCCGCCGTTTTTGAGGAAGGGCGCCGTTTGGAGAAAGGAAGCGAGAGAGAAGGAAGCCTCCAAATGGAAGGCAAAAGGAAGCCAACAAGAAGCCAACTGTTTTGAGGGAGGGACGGGGGGGGGTTCGGAACCATTTGGAGGGGTCGCGAACAGGGCGGAGAGCGATGGCATCGACTACGACCTGATCCTCAAGATTATGGAGGAGTGCCGACCTCGGTTGCATGCATTCAGTGGACTGCCCTTCTTGGCTCCCGTTCAAAAAATGTTCCAGGAAGCCATACTTTCGACATCAGTTTTCGTGTTGCAGCTTGAACAGACGCCACGGCTCAACATTCCTGGCACCTTCCTGGACGTCTCCTTGTTTGGATCTGGGCGGTGTTTGAAGCGAAACACCCATTTGGCTGTGGTTGTCAAATCCGTTTTGGGATCCATTTTGGGATCCATTTTGGGTGAATTCACCACCCATTTTAGAGAACCTATTTTCGTGGGGATTGGGATGTGCACTGGGGGTACGATTTGGGTTTTGACTCATGACCATTTGCCAGGGGAGGACCCTCGAACCCTCGGGACATCTCACTGGCCCGAGGATGGAGACGTCGCCGGACGGCGCGTGGACCTTCGCGCCGGAGTCCATGAGGTCCATCCCGAAGGCGCGGCGTTTTTTTGTTCCCCCCTTTTTTTCCTCTTTGTATATTCTTCTTGTTTTATTTGTTTTCTTCTTTGTTTGGTTCTTTTTTTGGTTTTGTTTTTGTTTTTCCTTTTTCTTTTTTTGGGGGTTCACAAGTGGCTGTGGCTCAGAAAGGATACACCAACATGGTCCCTTGGTAAAAATAAAGACTACCTGCGGTTTGCCCCAGCTCTTTAATTTTGAGCACCCAATTGACTCTTGCGTGAAAGGAAGTGTATTCCGCCTTTGGTGGAGAGACAAACGCAGACAAAGAAAGGGAGATCAGAAGGAAGAAGAAAGGGGGGAAGCAACATGAAATCAAAAGGAATGGGTTTTGACGTGGTTTTGGGTAGGCGCCAACAAACAAGCAACAGGAACCAACATGGGAAAGCAAATGCTTTGCACAAGGATTGTATACCTGCCCCCAAACCAAAGACACGTGGGACCTGAATGCCGAGAAGGGCAGGATGCTTGTGACGCTCCCGGCAGCCCGTTGCCTCGTCGGCGCGACAGGACCCTCGAAAAGGTGCCGTCCTCGTCTTCCTGCCTGGGCTGGGGGAGATCACCCAGCTCATGCCCGCTGCCTCAACGGGTAGGCGGTTAGGGCAGAAGAATCTCCAGGGTCTGACATATTTTTTGTCGGAGTTCGGCACAATGATATCCGTTTTTCGGAGTTTTTGGTCGGAGTCGATTCCCTTTGTGTCCTGTCGGGGTTCCCACTGAGGCCACAGGGACACCAAAGGGACGCCAAAGGGAAACGACTCCTGGAGACCCCGTTTGGGGACACACCCAAGAAGCCCCTCTCGAGGTCCAAGCTGAGCGATGACAGCGCCATGTCCTCCAAGTGGTGGGTGCTGCCGCTGCACGCCAACCTGCCGCCGGAGGAAAGGTGTTTTTTTCGGAGAAAGGGTGTGGGTATGGGGGTTGAGCAAAAGGTCCGTTCTTTACATGGGATGACCATTGGTTGGAAAACCACTAAACTGGTTTGATATTTCGCACTAAAAGGAAAGTTACCCATGGTCATTTGGGGGCCGAAGGGAATGTTGGTCAACCCCTGTATGGGTCAAAGCGAGTTGGATCCTCGTAGGTCCGCTTTGTGTTATGCTTTAAGTGAGCGCCAAGTTAAAACTCCAATCAGCCGTTTTGATAGGTTCTTCTACTAGGCCTAACATGAACTCTCAAGACTACGTTGATAGGCAACACAACACAAAACAGCCGAAGACAATGGACACACTCTCTCTCTCTCTCCCTCCCACGCACGTTGTCATGATTGTGCTTCTTATTATTAGTGGGACTTCATGCTGAATATTCACTGAGACAAATTAAGCAAGGAAACCGCCAAGAAGCCAGCCTTTTGGATCTAATTTAGCCTTGCCACGCGGCCCAATGCCGTTGAGGAGCAACAGGCTTGCTTCAACGTGACACTGCCTGCAGGCAGGGAATTGGATGTTCCAACATGTGCGGCCACCCATATGAGACCGGATGGATTCAATCGCAGCAACTGGAAGGCTCGAAAACGAAAGCGAAAAGAAAGCCACGCCTGTTTTGGCGACCGGACACACCCGTTTAGGGCCTTTCGCAATACTTGAGTGCGAAGCCCCATGTAACTTTTTGGGACTCCGCACGCTGAGCATTCCCTGTGATTGGTTGCTTCTCCCTACGCACCCCCAACCAACCCAAAGACAAATGTTAACCACTTGTTGCCAACAAGAAGTGGTGAAGCTTTTTCTTCCCAACCAACAGAGCGTGCCCAACTTTGAGGACACATGAAACCTGCTCCTCCCTGCAGGTTGCACGCGGAAGATCATTTGTTCAACAAATGTCGCTGAAACCTCCGTCACGGCAGCGTGCTGAGGTTTTTTGAGTCTGTGGGGTATCACGTTTTATTGAATCCGCATTTTCGGGCCCCAGCAGCCAGTACTTTTTTGTTTTGTTTTTTGCTAACAACTTGAGATTCATGTCTGCGCGGCTCATTCCTTGTGCCTTTTGCGGTGGCATGAACGAGGTGCATGCCACATAACACTTGCATCGATTTCTGACTCAAGAGAGAAGCTGCTGGAGAGAGTATCACTTCCCAAGGTTTTGGTCTGTAAGCCTTTGGGATGATCGTTCAAGTGGCACAACAAGCTTGTTCCTTTCTTGGCCACCCAGGAAGTGAGCAACTGAATTGCGCGGGCTCAGGTTCCAGACGTCACCGTGGTCATCGACACGTGCCGGGAGCGGCGGAACCAGGCGATCCATCTCCATGCAGCTCATGCGCGGGCAAAGTTGTTGGTCTTCAGATGGCTGTGGGTCAAAACCAATGGGATCCCATTTTGGGGTAGGTGAATTCACCACCCATTTTAGAACCTATTTTCGTGGGGATTGGGATGCTCACTGTGGGTACGATTTGGATTTTGACCCATGGCAATATGGGTTTGTCTCAAAGGAATCGAAACTCGCAAGACGGTTGCGGTTTCCTTTTGGTCTAAACAAGGAACCCCTGAAAGCTGTGGGGTCTCTGTTCTTGCCCGGGGTGTGGTGCTCTGGTTCTATGTTCCAATCGATCGGCTCTGGATAAGTGGAGTCACCAGCTAGGGTCTGCTGCTGGGGATGCCACGAGCCTCGTTTTCGCACAAACATGAGGGAGCAGACATGAAGCTGTAAAGAATCTGACTTTTTTTGGTGGGATTGCGGATAACCAACATGAGATTCATGTTTGAGGGACCATGGCTGCCACAAGGCACACAGACACGGAATTCGCTTGCAGGTAGACAAGTACAGCCACACACCCGTGCTCCGCTTGTACCTTAGCACGTGAGCGCGGTGCCTACGAAGGCTTTGACGTTCCCCTGGTTGGACAACGTTTTTTTTCTTTTGCAACTTAAGCCCGAGGAAACCACAGCAGGAAACCAGACACCATATGGCTATGAATAGTGGTTGGACATGAACCCCCACCTAAATGATATACCAAGGGTCCATTAAGATTCAGACCCATATGTGTCCTTTTTTCGCCCGGGTCTCAGAAAACGGGCATCGGACTATGAGGGGAGCAATGGTGCGCCCTGGACTCCCTGAAGCAGCGCCGTGGCCGCGCGGGCCGCGCCGGGAGCCAAGCTCCGGCTCAGGCTCGAGCTTCGGTTCCCATAGCTGATGACCAGGGCTTTGGTTCGGTCTGAAGCGGTTCGACTCACCTGGTGTGAGCGGAAAGGACCCGAACTGGGCTCGCTGTAAGAACTTTTTGGTCGCCTAGTGAGCGCAAGACAAAGGGAAGAGGGTCACGAGCCGCTTCTCGAGGTGCAGCCGGGTGTTTGCCTTCGGCTCCTTCCGGAGAGGCGAAGGGTGGCTGAAATTGGTGGTGTCAACTAGGACCCCCCTCCCCAAAAAAAACAACAACCAAAAGTTGGGTTGGCGTCATATGGACTTCAAACTTGTCCTCATCTTAGCTCCGTTTTGGAGGTCGAGCTCGGATGGAGGTACCTGGAGCGGCTGGAAGCCATCTCCCCCCCGGAGATGCAGCGGGTGCCCTTGGAGAACGTGTATCTCCAGGCCGCAAACTTCTGGCGCGAGGGGTGGGGGGTGGGGAGGTAAGCGCCCCAAGGCGCGGCTGGGGTCGGTGGAGGAGGAATTCGCGCGGGGAGGTGCCTTCGGGTTTCGTTGAAGAGAGACTTTCTCGGTCTAAACGCGCGATTTGGATCTGCCAGAATCTCAGATGCGGATGTGTCTCCGTTTTAGTCTCCTTGCGAAAGCAACCCCAAACTGGCACACTCCAAAAAGACAACTTATGTAGGCATGTGTCACCCCTGAAGATGCTGGTTGTCCTTGTGGTTTCCCTTCGAGACGGAGACCCATGTCTTTCGCGAGGTCTGCGCCAGCGGCATTGGCGAGAAGGGCATCAGCGACCAGCCGCTGGGCAGTGACCCATCTTTGGCCCCGCAGCCTTCTGGTGATCCAGATTCTGGTGGCAGACCCCGTGGTTTGACACATAGAGGTTGCCTAAAACTTGGGACCTCTGGAAATGGTTGGCCTCCTTTTGATTTCTTTCAACACCGCAAAGCTGCTATTGGACACTACAAGCCCCTGGTACCCTCGAAAAGAACAACAGCACTCCTGGATGAATCTGAGCCCAACCCCACCTCAACAGACTAAATTAGGTTCCGTCCAGCGTGCTGCTGGTTCCGCCTGATTGCAGCTGGTGGTAGCACGAGTCACGCGCCTGGACGCGGTGTTTCAGCTGGACGTTCATGACTGTTGACCTTTGCTCGTGTGGCATATGCCTGGGCAATCAGCCGGCGGCACCCGGCACGTACTTGTTCCCATGTGTTCCTTCTTTTTCCTTGCTTCCTTTTTTTTCTTCCGTCAACGGTTTGCGCCTGGGCCCAGCACGGCAGCTGGTGTTGAGTCGGCCCTCTACACCGCGTCGCGTGCGCGGGCTTGGTTGGCAGCTAGCGGTGCTGCTCGGTGTCGCAGCTGCCGCGCTTCCTGCCACGCGCTTGGGCTCATTGCACCTGGTGTCAGACACGCAGCCCCTTAGAGTGCTCCGGGACTGCCTCCAAGCTCATGGAAGCAGTCCCTTTCCTCCTCTTTCAGCAGCGTGCAGTTGCTATCGGAGAAGCGTGGCTGGGTGTGACATATATGTCACTTTGGGTTTGTCTCAAAATCGGGGACCTAGAATGGGCGGCTTTCCCTCCATTCCTCTTTGAAGCAACCCCAAAACGTACCTGCACGCCCACTTTTTTGCGGCGGACTCTGGTTCGGGTGTCGGCAAAAAGTCATGTCCAGCCCAGGTCCGAAGCCCTGTCGCCAGCGAAGTTCCTGGAACTGACGCCAGACCCTCCGGATAAATCCTCCGTGGATTTTGCGGAGGTGGGATGGGATGGGAAGGGGCGGAGGGGCTGTACTGTCGTCGTTCTTTCGAGCAAAGTGATACTCATTGGATTCAGCGACTCCGGAGTCAGCGTAATGAATACAAAACAGACTCAAGTTGTTTCACTTGGCAGGACTGCGATCCACGCTGGTTGCATGGGGTGGATAGGTTTTGTAAACAGCCGCTGATACTAGCAAACACCCAAGTCATACGGGAAATCTTCCAAAAAGGGCTGGTTTCACAGGGTTCTCCATATTTCCCCTTTTGGTTTTGGGGTGACCTCTGTAGGGGAAAGATAGGGGGCCTTGTTTCACGGTTGGCTCCTTAAGAGGGTCCTCTCCGTTTTTTCGATCCACAGGCGGCCCTCAGGGAGCTCGGTGCGCTGGATCCCGAAGACAAGCTGGATGGGCTCACGCCGCCGGGGATGCAGGTTGCGCGCTGGTTTGTCGCTCGGTGCGCCCAGCGGCCTTTGTCGCGCTCCGAGGTTGGGTCGGCACCTTGCCGCGCTGCCGTGCCACCCGCGGTTGGGCAAGATCCTGGTGCTAGGCGGAGTGGCACAGGGTTTGCGACTGAGATCGCATCATGTCATGTCGGAATTGGATCAGTTTTGCGGAGGGTTCTGAACGTCACCTGAGATGACATGGACATTGGGAGGCTTGAAGGGTCCTGCATGTTCATGACATCTTTCCCTGGGTGCAACCTTTTGGACTTGAGCCGCAGCGCAGCAGGCTGCCTGCTGGGTGTGTCGCAGCCTCAGGAGGGGCCATGCTGGATGTCTTCTGCTGGCACTTGGTGGGGTAGCTTTGCCTTGGGCTGCAAGAAAAAAGAAAATCTGTGGCGTTCTCCCCCCCCCCGGCAGGTCTTGTTACCTCATAGGCTCACTCCACTTGGGGCAAAACGGGCATGGTGGGCCTGCTCCCGTTTGGCTTCCTTTGGCCTGGATTTTCAATCCATCCGACGGACCTCATCCATGCATGAGGCCCGGCCCATGCCTGAGCATTTGCGCTGCGGCTCGGCAGCAAGCGGCCGAACGCCGCCTCGCGCCGGTGCTTGACGTTGGTCACTCGGGGCTCCAAGCTTTGGAGTTACTGGGCACAAGACATGCGGGTGTGTCTGGTTGAAAAGGAAGCCAAGGGGACCGTTAAGGAAACCCTGAGAGGGGGTCCCCTGATGTGAGAACCCGTGTCGAGATTCCAGTTGCTTGGGTGGTTTCGATTGGGGCTTCCCTTTCCACCAACCCCAAGATGGGTACCCGCCAAGAAAGACACACTCCATATGGGTATGTCCTTTTGAGGCTGCCGCTCTTGTGGTGGCTTTGAAGGAAAGCCCAAAGGAGCGCCACCAATTTTTGGGAGGTCCGCAAACGGAACATTTGGCGGTGGGTCAAAACCAATGCGATCCCATTTTGGGGTAGGTGCACCACCCATTTTAGAACCTATTTTAGTGGGGCCATTTGCCAGACGAAGGAGGTCACGGAAGCATTCCGAGTCCAGGCCATGTCCGTGCGCAATCCGATGCTGACGACGCAGGAGGGGAGAAGCGTTTCAGGGGACTTCCAGGTCTCATGTCCGTTTGGGCCCCTTTTTCATTTTTTTTTTGTTTTTTTTGGGTCCCCTTTGTTTTCGGCAACAGCCATAGCGTTTTTGCTGGGAATTCCAACCAAGAAAATAGCACTTTCAAATTGGCAAGGTTTGCCTTTGGCTTCCCTCCAAACCCACCAATCAGAAGAGGTCCCCAGAACAAGACAAGCCCATTTGTCCATGGCCGCTGTCAGAAGCTGGTCCCGGTTGATGCCCAAGGGTCCAAAACCCCATTCGGATCCTTTGGGCAGGACACAGCCAAGCGCGCGAACTGGCAGACTGCGAGGCTGGGTTCTGCTTGGGGTGAACATCTGACAATGGGCATTTCCCCAAACGCTGACATCTCCTGTGTAAACTGACCAGAAGCACTGAGTATGCAAAGCAATGTGTACTTGCACAGATTCAGATGCCCCTATAAAGTTTGTTCAAAACCCAAGAACTCATTCAGAAGCTTCTAAGCACCTTTGCGGGTACGGGTCCTCCTGGCCTTGTGGCAACGTGGCGACTTGGCTTCGGCAGGAATGAGATGGTGGCTGAAATCGGCACCCGCAGCGACCACTGCGCGCTAGTTCCTCAGGACGCCTCACGGGGCTCAGCGATTGATGCAACAGCTGATGCCAGAGCGATGGCCAAGCTGAGGTGGGCGCACATCGTGCAGGAGTGGCGCTTTGGGGACATGAAGCAGCACCCAGACTGAATGTCAAGGTCGTCAGACATTTGTTGGGGGGGGGGGGGGCAGTTGTTCTGCAAGCGACTTGGGCAAGCTTAGCCTCCGATCAGAGTCCCTTCCAGAGATCGGCTGCCTTCGGAAGGGGAGGACATAATTGGAATGAGCACCGCTCTCACTGAACCCCTGGGGTCCACGCAAGGCATGCTATGTTTCCTCCAAGTTGTAGTATCATTTGACCCCTCCTCACACCTCCTCACAGCATTCCCAAAGCATAGACGATTGCCTTTTTCAGGCTGGGTCTGTCAGAGGATCTCCTTTGGCCATGTGTTTGATGTGAACTTCAATCATCAGACCAGGTGTCACCTGGATATTAGTCTGGGCCAACACGGGAACCCTGAGCTCCAAACCGATTCCACCAACGGCAAGTCACGAAGACGCTGGTAGAACCCGCTGGGGTCCAGCTGAGGCGTGAGCTGTGCCGCAAGCTGGGCCTGTCCTTCGAGCGGATGTGCTCCTCCATGTTCGCCCGGGGTCCCGGCGCTCGCTGTGGCGGCCTTCCGCTCGGGCCCAGATCCGCTTTGGACGTTGCGAGATGTAGGTGAAGGCCCCTTATCGCATGAAGGCCCTTCAGTTGGGATTTTTTCCTCAAGTCAGCTTGCGGAAGTTTTTGGGTTTTTTGGGCTTTCATGTCATCCACGCTGCGAATGCCAGCGTCTCAGGAGAGGAAGCATCTTAGCGAGTCGCTGGCCGGAGGCTTATGATGGGCTCGCGTCAAAGGCTGTAGGCTCATGTACTGAGGGGCGCTTGGGGCGCTTGGGGCGCTTGGGGTTTGTACACAAAACTTGCTGGAGGTTCCCATGCCCCCCTTTTTGGCTCTACCGGTTTGGGACTTGCGAGGCCCTTTTACACGAGGGATTCACTGGCAGTGGTGTGCTTGCTTTTTTTCCTCTTTTTCCCCAAACAGTTTACTGTGAGGGGTTCTAAATTCATTTAAGGTGGCTCGCCTGTTGCCAAGCCCTAGCCTGGATGCCTGGCACAGCTCTCTGGGTGGACGGGTTCATTTGTCTCCCTGTGTCTCCCTTCATTTGTCTCCCGTTGTCTCCCCGCCTGGATGCCTGGCACGGCTCTCTGGGTGGACGCGTTCGTTTGTCTCCCTGGGTTCACTTGTCTCCCTTTGTCTCCCTTCATTTGTCTCCCGTTGTCTCCCAGCCTGGATGATCCAGTCTGGGTGGACGGGTTCATTTGTCTCCCTTTGTCATTTGTCTCCCGTTGTCTCCCAGCCTGGATGCCTGGCACGGCTCTCTGGGTGGACGGGTTCATTTGTCTCCCTTTGTCTCCCTTCATTTGTCTCCCAGCCTGGATGCCTGGCGCGGCTCGGGTTCATTTGTCTCCCTTTGTCTCCCTTCATTTGTCTCCCGTTGTCTCCCAGCCTGGATGCCTGGGTGGACAGATTCACTTGTCTCCCTTTGTCTCCCTTCATTTGTCGCCCGTTGTCTCCCAGCCTGGATCTGGCACGGCTCTCTGGGTGGACGGGTTCATGTGTCTCCCTTTGTCCCCTTCATTTGTCTCCCGTTCTCTCCCAGCCTGGATGCCTGGCACGGCTCTCTGGGTGGACGGGTTCATTTGTCTCCCTTTGTCTCCCTTGATTTCTCCCGTTGTCTCCCAGCCTGGATGCCTGGCACGGCTCTCTGGGTGGACGGGTTCATTTGTCTCCCTTTGTCTCCCTTCATTTGTCTCCCGTTGTCTCCCAGCCTGGATGCCTGGCGCGGCTCTCTGGGTGGACGGGTTCATTTGTCTACCTTTGTCTCCCAGGATGTCTGGCACCCCTTTGTTTCCCTTCATTTGTCTCCCGTTGTCTCCCAGCCTGGATGCCTGGCACTGTTTTTTTGGTGGACAGATTCACTTTTCTCCCTTTGTCTCCCTTCATTTGGCTCCTGTTGTCTCCCAGCCTGGATGTCTGTCACGGCTCTCCAGGCGGACGGATTCACTTGTCTCCCTTGGTTCCCCTTCATTTGTCTCCCATCTCTGTGGGTGGACGGATTCATTTGTTTCCCTTTGTCTCCCTTTATTTGTCTCCCGTTGTCTCCCAGCCTGGATGCCTGGCACGGCTCTCTGGGTGGACGGATTCATTTGTCTCCCGTTGTCTCCCAGCCTGGATGTGTGGCACTCACGCTCCGCGGTTTCCTTCACTTCCCGCGGTTCTGTCCTTTTGGCGGGGTCTGGTTTGCCTTCGGCTTTGGCCCTGGCTTCGGTCATTCCTTGTCTTGTGGATGTTGGGGACAGGGTCCTCTGTCTGCCCTTCATCTGGACTTCGATTTTGCTTGGGCTCGTGGTGGGTCGTCTTCCTTGTCTATCGTTGGCTACACCCTGTCTGTTCGTTCAGTGCCTCGTTATCAGTTGCGGCCTCTCTCTGTCCTTGCTCGCATTTGGAGTCCCGAGCTGACGAGAGCGGTGCGCTGCGGTGCACGGCTTCAGCTACGAGAAGGCTCTGTTAACCCCCCGGTAAAACAAACGTGAATCACGCTGGAGTTAAATCGTCTATCGATTCTTTGATGATGTTCAACGAACCTACGCCGAGATACCCAGTGGTGCTCTTGGCACCTGGGGTTGTCCCGGCTCTCCCGGCGGACGGGTTCCTCTCCCTTCATTTGCCTGACAGATTCATTTGTCTGCCTTTGTCTCCCTTTATTTGGCCCCGGTTGTCTCCCAGCCTGGATGCCTGTCACGGCTCTCTGGGTGGACGGATTCGTTTGTCTCCCAGCTTGGATGTCTGGCACGGCTCTCCGGGCGGACGGGTTCATTTGTCTCCCTTTGTCTCCTTCTTGTTGTCCCCCAGCCTGGATGCCTGGCACGGCTCCCTGGTCATTCGCGGTGTATTCCGCGGGCACGCATGTGTGTTTGAGGCTCAGAAACGTGTGTTTGAGCGCGCGCGTGCGCTTGATCAAGCCACAGGCAGCATGCTGCGGATGCACGTACGAGTGCTTCAAGTAAATGATTGTGTGTTCTTGGTGTGTTCCAGCTGACCACATCGGCGCGTTCCAAGTGAACACGCACTTTTTGCATGTGACCACATGAGTGTGTTCCACGTCAGCACATGTTTGTGTTCCAGGTGAAAGCATGCGATTGTTCTGATAAAACACATATGCGATCCGGTCAAAATTCCTAGTAAGGGGGTTTAGTCTACAGAGGCCACCGTCGCAGTCACTTTGTGCAGTTTTTCATTCACACAAAGCGGAGTCCTGCAAATACCAATGGATTGCCCGCTCCCCACTGGAGGCGCTAGGATGGCGCTTGGTTTGCGCTAGGGTCTTCGGTGATCTTGGTTTCCAAGAGTTGGCGCGTGGGTTGCCGCGATGGGCTTTGCGTGGCTTTCAAGGGTGTAATGTTGCAGTTCTTACTTAGTACTTGAAGCCAGCCCGCACGTTTACCTTCATCTTACGTGGCCTTAATTTGTCAAATCCACACAGATGGTCGCCGTGACTCCAAAAAATACGGCGAACCCGCGCTAGCCGCGCGCTAGCAAGGCGCTAGCGCAGTGGTCAGCTGTGACCGGTTCCCAGTTACGCTTCAATCCAAATTTGCTTCCGCTCTCCTCGCATGCAATTATCATGGAGTGCGATTTGCTGGACAAAGGGGAGAAACAACGGCTGAGGCAAGACGGCAGGGATGCCTTGTACCGAGCATACGGAAGAATTGGGTTGCGTATTTCCCTGCGAAAGCAAATGCTTTACTGAATCGATACGAAGAGTTGCCACAATACGATCAAAGCACTTTAGCAATCGATACGAAAGACACTGTGCAGCTAAGCGAGAAAGAAGCGCAATGCGCCGGAAAGCTTTTGCTAAGCTGAAGCCTGTAACTGCTGGAGACGCATCCGATACTGATAGTACTAGCAGTAGTAGCAGCAGCAGCAGCAGCAGGCTCGCACGCTAGCAACATGTTGCAAAAAAGCTTGATTGATCGTACACGAACACTATTTTCCTACTTGGGACATGCATATAAAACACAAGCGTTGTTCAAGGCAGAGCCCCATGGAATAGCGCCTCACAGTCGGCTTCGGGAACTTGATTTGTCCATGCGAACACATTTTTGTTGCCCAGGTGAACGCATGTGTGTTGCACATTTGTGTTGCACATGTTTCTCCACATGTGCACACACGTGTGTTCCATGTGTACACATATGTGTGTTACAAGTCAACACAGAAGTTTGTTCTGGTTAAACATGCTTGTGTGATCCAGGTCTGCACCAGTGTCGCACGTGAACACAAATGCCTGTTCCAAGTGAGCGCATATATGGGTTCCAGGTGAACACATATGTGTGTTGCAGGTGAACAGAAATGTGCTTTCCAGACATACACACATATGTGTTCCAGGTGCACGCATGTGTGTGTGTGCGTGTTCCGGGCGCGCATATATATATATATATATATGTGTGTGTGTGTGTGTGTGTGTGTGTGTTCGCGTGTGCACATATGTGTGTTCCACATGTACACATATGTGCGTTCACGTGCGCACATATGCGTGTTGCACGTGTACACATATGTGTGTTCACGTGTACACACATGTGTGTTCTTATCAGACACGTGTATGTGTTCCAGGAGAACACATGTTTGTTATCAGATGAACACGTGCGTGTGTGTCTGCTCCGCGTGCACTTTTTTTGTATGTGTGTTCACGTGCACACATTGTGTGTTCACGCGTGCGCACATGTGCGTTCCAACTGGACACGTGTTTGTGTTCCAGGAGGACACATGTTTGTTATCAGATGAACACGTGTGTGTGTGTGTGTCTGCTCCGCATGCGCATGTGTGTGTGTTCATTTGCACACATATGTGTGTTCCACGTGCACACATTTGTGTGTTCACGTGTCCACACATGTGTGTTCCAATTGGACACGTGTTTGTGTTTCAGGTGAATACATGTTTGTTTTCAGATGAACGCACGTGTCTGTGTGTGTTCCGGGTGCGCATATATATGTGTGTGTGTGTTCACGTGTACACATATGTGTGTTCACGTGTACACACGTCTGTGTTCCAATTAGACACACGGTTGTGTTCCAGGAGAACACGTGTTTGTTATCAGATGAACACTCGTGTGTGTCTGTGTTTTCCGCGCGCGCATAAATGTGTGTGTTCACATGTGCAGTACACATGTGTGTGTTCCACGTGTGCTGTGTTCACGTGTACACATATGTGTGTTCACGTGTACACACGTCTGTGTTCCAATTAGACACACGGTTGTGTTCCAGGAGAACACGTGTTTGTTATCAGATGAACACTCGTGTGTGTCTGTGTTTTCCGCGCGCGCATAAATGTGTGTGTTCACATGTGCAGTACACATGTGTGTGTTGCACGTGTGCACATGTGTGTGTTCACGTGTGCGCATTTGCGTCTCCCACGTGTACACATATGTGTGTTCACGTGTACACACATGTGTGTTCCAATGGACACGTGTTTGTGTTCCAGGTGAACACATGTTTGTTTTCAGATGAACACTCGTGTGTGTGTGTTCCGGGTGCGCGTATATATGTGTGTGTTCACGTGTACACATATGTGTGTTCACGTGTACACACGTCTGTGTTCCAATTAGACACACGGTTGTGTTCCAGGAGAACACATGTTTGTTATCAGATGAACACGTGCGTGTGTGTCTGCTCCGCGTGCACTTTTTTGTATGTGTGTTCACGGCACACATTGTGTGTTCGCGCGTGCACACATGTGCGTTCCAACTGGACACGTGTTTGTGTTCCAGGAGGACACATGTTTGTTATCAGATGAACGCGTGTGTGTGTGTGTGTGTGTCTGCTCCGCGTGCGCATGTATGTGTGTTCATTTGCACACATATGTGTGTTCCACATGTACACATTTGTGAGTTCATGTGTCCACACATGTTTGTTCCAATTGGACACGTGTTTGTGTTTCAGGTGAATACATGTTTGTTTTCAGATGAACGCACGTGTGTGTGTGTGTTCCGGGTGCGCATATATATGTGTGTGTGTTCACGTGTACACATATGTGTGTTCACGTGTACACACGGTTGTGTTCCAATTAGACACACGGTTGTGTTCCAGGAGACCACGTGTTTGTTATCAGATGAACACTCGTGTGTGTCTGTGTTTTCCGCGCGCGCATAAATGTGTGTGTTCACATGTGCAGTACACATGTGTGTGTTCCACGTGTGCACATGTGTGTGTGTGTTCACGTGTGCGCATTTGCGTCTCCCACGTGTACACATATGTGTGTTCACGTGTACACACATGCGTGTTCCAATTGGACACGTGTTTGTGTTCCAGGAGAACACATGGTTGTTATCAGATGAGCACACGGGTGTGTGTTCCGGGTGCACATATATGTGAGTGTTCACGTGTGCACATATGCGTGTTCACGTGTGCACATATGTGTGTTCCACGTGTACGCACATGTGTGTTCCAATTGGACACGTGTTTGTGTTCCAGGTGAACAGATGTGTGTTTCACGTGAACACATTAGTATGTGCTAGGTGAACTTTTTTTGGCATCTGACGACATATTTGCTCTCCAGGTGTGCACATGTATGCGCTCCAGAAAACGCATGATTGTTTTCGAGGTGCGCGCATGTGTGTGCGATTTAGGTGAGCATTTATGTTTGCTCACGTGTGCGCATATGTGTGTTCCACATGTACACACATGTGTGCTTTAATCGCACACGCGGTGTTCCAGGTGGACACATGTTTGTGTTCCAGTGGTATACATATGTGTGTCCCACGCGTACACACATGTGTGCTTTAATTGCGCGTCTTTGTGTTCCAGGTGAACGCATGTGTGTTCCACGTGTACACACATGTGTGTCTGAATTGGACACGCGTTTCATTGTGTTCCAAGTGAACACACATGTGTGTTCCACGTGAACGCATTAGCGTGTCGTAAGTGAACACATATGTGCGTTCCACGTTTGCACATGTGTGTGTGTGCTTTCCAAGAAGCACATGTTTGTTTTCCAGCTCAACACATTTATGCGTGTGCCGCAGGTGAATGTATACTGTTTCAGTCGTATACGTATGTGTGTTCCACGTGTACACACATGTGTGTCTGAATTGGACATGTGTGTTTGAACTGCCCATGTGACTGCGTGCTTGCGCGGCCACACTTGCGTTCACGCGCGCGCGCTCGCCCGCCATCGCGCGCGCTTGCCCAACCTCAGTTCTGGCGCGGTGCTGAAGCGCGAAGCACGCCAGCAACACACGTGCAGCAACGCAACGCGCGCCAGGTTCACGACTGCATCATTTTGATTCATCCGTGTTGAAGCGCAGAAAGCCACAAGCTGTTGGCATGTTTGTGCTCGCCCGTCAGCCCTCAACTGTTTGGGGTCTCTGCTGGTGTAATTTTTTTCTTCTTTTCTTTTCTCCGTAAACGACGACCGCTGGCCCCTTTTTGCGAATCTTTTGGTGCCGGAGGGGCAGTTCGTGTCTGAGTCCTGACCCGCAAGGTCCAAGTGGGTCTTTTGCCTGCCTCGTTCAAAGACGACGAGCTCGACAGCAAGGACAAGGCGCCGAAAGCGACCAGCGAAACGAGTCGTCTCATCTCGGACACGGGAGCTCGTTCTTAGCTTGTGACTTGCCACTTGGCGAAGGGAGAAGTTATGGAGCAATTTATGGAGCACTTGTGGTCAAACCATGTGTTATGCGTAGATGCCGGACTGGAACCTGGTGCGTGCGGCTGTGGTCCCAGCCTCAGATATCACGGTCGGATGCCTCCAATCCCCTATCGGATGGCCTGCAAAGGGAAGCAAAAGGAGCCTTCACTACTTACCACTTTTTGTCTGTTCTGGAGACACCCACTTAGGTCGGCGGGCTGTATCCCAACATCCTGCACGCACAACGCCGCCATAGCTCTGGAAGGCGGGTCTCTGGGAGAGCTGTGCCGCTGGCAAAACGCCCGCGGGCCGGATGCCGTGGGTCATGGTCGTGGCAGCCTGGGTAGGGCTGCCTTCTGTGATTCCCCAAAGGGAATGCCCTTCGAAGTGGCAACTGAGTCAGTCATGGGGGGGGCCCATGTTGTTCTAGCTTGGGATAGAAAAAAAGAAACGCGCTTATTTTTTTCCCACCACCGCTGCTATTGCTCGTGGCCTCCCGGCTGGAAGCCGGAAGGTACCAGACAGGCAGCTTCGGAGACAAGGCCAAGTTCCTGACCTACCAGATGCTGCAGAGGCGCTGGCCCCGACGAGACTTATGGCCGTTTCGGAGTCGGCGGAGTTGCCCGGAGCGCAGTCAGGAACACGGCGGGGCGAGAAGCCTGGCCGAAGACGGTGAACCTCCACCCGAACTCCTTGATGTTCGGGCACGACCAGCGCCGGGCTCAAGCAGCCAAGATTCCTCCGCGTTCTCTCAATGTTCTGGGGTTGCCTTGCACACATTTCTTGGCGTCCTTTGGGATCTACCACAAACTCCCTTTTTCATGTTGGCTTTCAAAAACGGGTCTGTGTTTTTGAGGGTACTAGTCCCCCTTGCTTGGTAGTCTTCAAGGGACACCAAAAGGAAGAACACTCATTTTGGGGTCGCCTAAAAAAAACCCTGCCCAAAACAGAGTTTCCGATTTTTGAGACTGACCCAAGATACTGAGAGTGATGGCCAAGCGCCACGAAGGTTCCACTGCCCGTGGTTGGCTTTCTACACCATTCAGCCGCTGGGACGGGGTTAGTGGGCGTGTCAGGTCGGGCGACGATTTGCAGGCCCCAATTAACCTGGATCCCAAGAAGGCAGACCCCCCCTCCAAGGGAGATGTCTCTGGGTTGATCAAAAGGTCCTTTGCAGGGGGTAGCAACCAGGGCCACTCAAAATGATCATCTTGAGGCCAGGACCAAACGGGGGTTTTGCCGTTCCATCAAAGTTGCATCGGTGAGTGATGCTTTTTCCAGGGGCAAGTCAACCCACTGACCTGCTGCCACTTTGAGAAATATCCCCGTTTGTCTAGAAAGTCCCATTTCCCGCTTAAACCAGCCCAGGCAGACCACCAAGCTCTATGCCTATGACGTGTCTGAGGTGAGGGACCTTGTCAGAGGTGAGAAGAGGGGATGCCGTGGAAGGTGCTCGCGAATTTGACCATATTGCGGGTGGCCGGTTGTCCAAAATTTGGAGAGCCTATGAGGGCCTACCAAAATATCCCTGGATTGTCTCGCATTGAAATAGGGAGTGTACCACCTAAGAGACCCTGGAATGCTTCGATTCCGGTGTAAATATGGTTTCCCATGGTGTCAAAGCTCCATCCACGGTATGGCTATGGTCAAAATACTTTTCGGCTTGGGGCCCCTGTAGCCGGGGATCGTCATGAACCTTCAACGAGCTTATCAAGATTCCCAGTCAAGAGCCAGTGACCCTCACCAGCAGTTGACCACGGCGCAAGTGGGAGTGCATCTTTGGTTCCTTTGCTTTTTGTTTCTTTTGTAGGGAGACATCCGTTTTGGTGTGTTGCATAAGCGCCGCTTTTTGGAGGAAGCCGCTGTTTTGGAGGTTCCCACCCGATGTTGAAACACCCCCCTGCAATCGCTTTCCGTGAGAAGACGAGGCGAGCCCCTTCTCCCTGCTGCTCTTTGGGGGCGAGCCGGAGTACAACGAGTGCACTCACACCCTGCAGGCTTGGGGGAGAAAGAAAAACCTGGGTTGCTCTGTACTCTTTTGGGGTCTTTTTAAGGGAAGCCGAAAGGAAAACCTGAAATCTGAGGGTCCATTTTGAGAGAGACGCATATGCAAAATCAGTGAAATCCCAGGCGGGGCCGTCGACCTGCCCCCTAACTGGGATTTGGGTCGTGTGCCGCCAGCCTGTCAAGGGGTCTCGACGCGCTGTCGCGCAGCTTGCGGCTCGTGAGCCGACCGGTCATGAGAGACATCACTCGGCACCATGAAAAAGCCAACCTTGTCGCACCAATCTCTGACATGCTCCAGCCACTCGCAAAGAATTCACAAGAAAGAGAGATCGCATTGTGGGGCGCGATTTGCAGATCTTCTGGTCTTAGTGCACTTTCGTTTGGGACTCCTGTCGAGATCCACCTCTTCCCCGGCAGCTTTTTTTGGGGCTTTGACCGTTGGTTGGGCTCTTAAAGTGTTTTTTAGGGCTGCTTCCAGGCATTTCTAAAATCGTTCCCCAGATGCTTTCTCTATTTAGCTTTCGGCTTCAAACGCCCAGATCTTGCCACGCAAAAATACGGGCAGACCTCCAAAAACCCCGGGGGGGGGGGTTGCGGGGGGGAGACGTCTGTCATGGGATCCATGGACGCCCAGCGGCTCAAAGAGATCCTGGCGGCGCTGGACGGGGATACGGCGGTGCACCTGGTGCTGGAGGCGAGGGCATAGGTGTAAACTTTCTGTTCCGTTGAGAAACAAAAGGGCCTGGTAGACCTATTGGTTTAATCATCTGCCAGGGCAGCCTAATTTTCCAACCAGGAGACCTATGGGCGAGGGTTGGTTGAAGGGCAGCGACCCCCTTCCCATGAATCGGAGTTCCAAACATGGGAGTCGGACTTGGTGAGGCCCTAAGAAGCAGATGAGTGGTGCCCTTCCCTGAAATTTGGGGCTCAAAAGCGTAGGATTCGTGTTTTTGTGCTTGTTTTTTTCTTCCATGGGAAAACTGAGAAGTAGATGAATGAAGAGCCTGTCTGGTGACTAGGTATTTTGAGCCACACCCGTTTGGCCTTGTTGGGAAAGGTGGTTCTACTAAGCTGGTCTGGTTTAAAGGGGTTGTAGGGCCACACCAATTACAGGTGACCCTTTATTTGCTGGTTTGGATTGGTTTGGATTGGATTTCAAGCCCTGGTTCTTACAGGGTAAATTGGAAACATCGCCCCCCAACCAATCCAAACGTCTCCTTCCTATTTGGAGGGAGCTGACTTTTGGCTGTTTAGCTGGTGTGACCTGAAGGCCCCTTAAACCTTTCGGAAACAATTTAAATGCTGTGGATGGACGAAATCCTGCACCATAACCATGGGAAACCATTGGTATTTGCAGGGGAGTCCTCATTCCAGGGTTTCTTAAATGGATCTCGTCCGTGCACAGTGGCTTTTCCATTCAAGTAGACCTTTGCGCAAGGGAAGAGTTGGTACCACATAAACCATGGGAAGCGAGTCGGAACCAAAGCCAATGTGCGTCAAACATAGTGGGACCCCAACAAGGTGGTTTGCGTTATAGTTTCCGTTTAAGCTTACCCAAGAAGGCCACCACATCTCAAAATCTCTACCCCTTTGAGGCTTTGAGGTGGATCCCGCTGGCTTCAGCTTTCCAATGACTTAGCGGAACTCGTCTATCTTTTTTTCTTAAAAGGATTGAGTTAGGAGTGACGGTTTGTCAAGACCTTTGTTCAGAATCACATGCTGTCTGTGTCAGTGTCAGAGTCTGTGTCTGCGTGTTTTTTTTTTTTTTGTGTGTGTGTGTGTGTGTGTCTGTGGGTGTTAGTCGGTGGCGTTACGCTCTGAAACATGGGTGATTTTTCGCGAAAGTTCCGCGAAAGATCCGCGAAAGCCCGCGCGACAGCGCAGGCTTCAATTGCAGGCAAAAAAAGGTACTTTGTGAGAGCCGCGCTAGTTACTGAAAAGTTGCGACTTCAAGCTGGAGCTGCGCGGCTTACCTGCTGGAGCTGCGGAAGTGGTAGTTGCGGCTTTCCATCCGGAACTGCGGAATTGCATGTCATGTACTACCCCTGTGATGAGAAGTTGCATTTCCCGCACTCCACTGGCACTTAAAGCTGCGACTTTCTGACTTGAGAAATGAAACGTGCACGGCGATGAATCCGCGAAAGATTCGCGACAGTAACTTTTTGTTTTATCCGCGAAGAATGGCCGTTTCGAGGCAAAGGACTGTGGAACAGCCACCTAACACATATATATATATATATATTTATACATACATACACACACATGCATATATATATATATATATATACATATATACTTTTTATACATATATTGAAGCCGCTTTTCGTACAACAACAACCCGATGCACACCACCGCACCCCACGCCCGCTTCGCAAAAACACCCGGCGCGAGGCCCTGAAGCAGCGCCCCCGTCTGGCCCCCGCCGTGGTGGGCTTCGCGTGCCCCGCGCTGACCTACGCGCCGGCCAGGGCCATGGCGGAGCGGAGGCGCCTTCGCGTGGCGCGCGCCCGCGCGCGTGGCGCGCGGCGGTGGCGCGGCTTTCGAAGAGGGTTTCGGACCTGGGGAAAGCCGAGCCCGGGGTTGTGCTTGGCTCCTCCCGTTGGTTGGTGCCGGGAAGGGCGGGCCATTTTTTGCTTCTCTTCTTCGGATTTCATGGTGGGTATGCGATGCAGGGCTACAGGGCACGGGCCCCTTCAAGTGCAGGGGATGGCGTTGGTTTTCTCGCATACGGGCATGAAAGGTGTCCACATTGTGTTGACAAGCACTCATCCCATATATTGGGGTCGTCAACAATTTCAGTAGTCTTTGGATAATTTGGAATGGCTTGTCTAATGTTGGCTTTGATGCTGCAGTTTCAAGCAGCCTGCTCGTCTGTCATTCAAGAGAGGGATCACCATTTCTGATGTCCGGAAACAAGCAGAGCCGGGTTTTTGTTCTGGACTGATTTGTTTTATGGCAACGTTCATGAGGCACTTTCTTTGTGTTTTGCTTTTTTGGAGGGGCGTTGGACTGGAAGAAGCCAAACCCAATAGGGTTGGAGGGGGGACGTCCCCAAACGGAGCCATGTCTTTGCGGCAGGTGCTGGGGGGTGCTGACGCAGGTGCCGGGTGCCGAAGGCTTGGGCTTGGATGAGCGGAGTGCAACTCAGAGTGAGGGAGCCCCTCTAACGCGGCGCGTTTCTTGGGTCAAGAGGTTTGCTAATCTCCTGGATCACCAGTGAATTGCAGCGCGCTGATGGTTTCTCTGACGATGCAGGCAGCGCGCTGCTGGCTGGGGGGCCTGCTCGGGGTGCTGTTTGGTGCTCATTGTATTGTGGCAGTTGCTGTGTTGTTGGTTCTAGTCAAGGTGCAGGATATGGTGCTGTTTGATCATCATGCCCTTGCACCTCGCATGGAAAGAAGGAACCGTGGTGTTTTCCATGGACCACTGATGCGAAGAGGGGTGTCCACCAAAAGGCTGGCCCCACTATCCCCAGTTTCTGACTTTCGACCCTCCCACTAGCATGGCACCTCGGGGTACCTAATGCCTGGAAGATCAATGTTCTTTTGGCGTGGCGAATTCCCTGTCAATACCATGGCAACGTGGTTGAGAGAGTTTACCCTTCAATCTTGGCTGCGATTGGTTGGAATTTGGATTTGAAGCCCTTGGCCCTTTTGTGGAGGGTGGATGGGAGACTGCCCACCAAACCTCCAATCTAAACCAGAGGGTAAATGGGAATCCAAACCTCCCACACCTCCAAGCCCATCTAAACCACCAATCTAAATTAAATCACCAATCTAAACCACCAATTGGTCAAACACAGGTCCCCAAAATGGCTTTCCCTGCCAATGGAACCCTGCCAAATGGACATGCCTACCATTTTGAGCCCCAGCCCCAAACTGATCCAAACCCCACTCCGTCGCGCGGTTTCGTTCGCGCGAGTGAACCGCGAGGCGAGGGCTTCGGCGTCATCAGCTCCCCGGAGATCGAGGCGACCTTCGGCGCGGAGGTGGCGGTGAGCCGGGAGCAGCTGGGCGGCTTCCAGGCCCGGAGCTCGGGGCGAGTGGGGGGTGCCACGGCCTCAAGACTGGCGACTCCAGTGGCCGCGACCGGAGCGGCTGGGGTGGGGGGGGATGGGGATGGGGATGGGGGTGGCGCCTCATGGCAAGAACCCGAACAAAAGGCAAAAAGAAGCAATGGCATGAAAAAGAAGGAGGTTGCGAAATAGACGCTGAGTGTCCGTACTGGGGAAGGGCAGGGGGAGGGGGGGTGGAGCGGCACTCACTGCGGGTCTTGGCATGTTCTTGAGCTTTGGTTAAGAGTTGTTTTGTGGTTGTGTTGGGTTTTTAGTCTGGCTGCAAAAAACACTACTGTGGACGGACGAAATCCCGGACCACCTAAGCATGAGCTTTCCCCTGTACATGCCCACAAACAATGGTTTCCATTTCCCATGCTTTCAAGGTGGTGCGAAATGGAGTGCTCAGTAGGGAATGACCCCCATAAACCATTCTCAAGTTGCCCCAAGGTTGTTGGTTTGGATTGGTTTGGGGGAATTCGATCCCTTGGTTCTGGTGGAGGGCAAATGGGAACCCCTGCTTCACCGCCGAAACACCAATTTAAAGCACCAATTAGCTTCTTCAGTTCCCCCTTGGATGGGTAGTTTGGATTGGTTTGGGGATTTGAACCCCTGCTTCTTGCGCGCGAGCGCTGGAGCGGTTTTTTCTCGCGGATCAGGTGGGCCAGGAGCTCAGCTTCAGCTGCGCCCTGGACGCGGAGAACAAGCCCAGGGCCTTCGAGTTGCTCCCCGGCGGCTGGACGGGGCCTTTGGCGCCGGCGCCGGCCGGCTTGGGCGCCGCTTTATCGGCGGTGCCGATGTCCAGCGCATTTGGCGGCTCGGCTCGATGCGCCTGGCAGCGCTGGGATCTCCGTTCTTGTTTTCTGCCCAAAGCTTAGGCTTTGCGTTTGTTTGGGCCAAGATGCAGCACACAGCCCCTCCCCAAGATGGGCATCTTTTGACCAACGAGGCTGTGGCTGCGGCTGCGGCTGCGGGGGCTGCGCAGGCTGCGGGGGCTGCGGGGGTTATGGGGGCTGCGGGCCCGGTCCCGGCCAATGGGCGGACTGGAACGCCTCGGGCGACTGGGGCGAGAAGCGGCGGAGGCTGGGGATGTAGGCGGCACCGAGCGGAATTCGAGGCGAGCGGGGTCCGCAAGGGGCTTGGCGCATGTGTCATGGCGAGAACAGCTCGTGGAAGCGATCACTTTTGTTCATTTGTTTCTCGAACAAAGCGAAGGATCAGAAGGTTCATCCCTTGGCACACGCCCAGCTGCCGCTTAATCTGCTCTCAGCGAGATTTGCCTGCAAAGGCAAGGCAGACGGCCGCTTGTGGGGCATAGTCGAGATGTGGAACGGGTGCTAAAGCATCTGTGAGTGCACTGGCAATATTGCCGAACCAAAATGATGCTGAGCTCGTGCGGGTGTAGGGTGTGCGGGGGGGGAAGCTTCTTGTCAATCACTGCAAATTTCTTGAACTGCCAATCTTGATGAACTCTTCTCCCTCCCCTGCGAATCCCGAAAACCCACTCAGCTTCCATCTGCCCCAGCTGCAACCAATTCTGGCAGATGACCAGTCAACATTTGAGTGCCATGTGCGGGTCATGGACTTTTGTGAGGGGAAACCAAGAGATGTAGGCAAGACGCTTCACTCCCCTGATTGGTAAGTCGAAGTCTTAGTCCAAGCCATTGGTTTAGGGAGCTAGGTCCCCCAGTGCCCTTCTCTCCCCTTGTTTGGGGCAGGGTTCCCCCGCTAAAACAGACAGAAGAAGAATCGGGTACCAACTTATTCGGTCCTCTCTAATCTGGAGGACCTACTGTGGATGGCCGAACTCCTGCACCACCATTCAGAAACCCCTTTTAATGATGAATCCCCTGTACATACCCACAAGCGTAATGGGTTTCACCCACGGTTTCCAGGTGCTAAATGGATTTGGATGTCGCAGCCATCCACATGCATGAGTCCTAGACTACTTTGCTTTGTAGGCAATTCCAACGAATCATGGAGGGCCGGGAGGGGACCTTTGGTTTCGGGAGGGTTTCCCACCTCCGCACTCGCGAGGTGGGGGGCTTCGCCAGCTTCCGCTGCCGCGGGGGCAAGCAGCTGGTGCCGTTGCTCCAGGTGGTTTGGGGGGGGGGGGGGTGCGGTGGATGCCTCGCTGTTGTTCTAGGGAACCCGTTTGGGTTGTAAGGATGCCAAGACCTCAGAGCCCAGAATTTTGAGGCGGACTTGCACCACGCTGGGGGTTCGTTCCTTTTCGGTTCTTTTCAACCATGGTGCTTTTCCAAAACCAGCGGTTTCCCCTGGGGTCCTGATGGTTTTCTGGAAAGAAGGATCCCGGAAAGAATGGGGAAGTGTCCCCTAGAACTGTATTGTAGGCTGTAGGGTTTGTTCAAAGGCCTTCGGCTTTTGGAGAATTGAGCCGGGTCTGCTTTCGTTTGGGTTTTAGGTTAGCAACAACCTCCGCCGACTAAGATAGTTGTGGTCTCCAAATGGTGAGCTTGATCTCAGACCAGACAAGGGTGAAGGAGTTCTCATGCTTGTTTTTTGATTTCAACTTAAGATCGTTAGGAAAGCGTCATTCCCAGTACATGGAATTGCATCATAGAAAACCTGGTTCCATGGCTTAGGTGGGGGAACTCATATTAGCCAAATTTGTGTGTGATTCCTCTTGGTGCCTGTTTCCGCACAATTTGTTTGTTTTGCTGGCAACTGCAACCCTGTTTCTGCGTGCACATGGGTCCTAGGTGTCCTTTTTTGAGGCTCGTTCTTTTCCAGAAAAATCCAAGGGACCACCCAGTCTTGGGGGGTTCATTAGAACCCCACCTTCTGCCTCGGTGAAGGCGGCCCGAAAGGGCATCCAAGACGTCTTGGAGCACAAGCTCGAGGCAGCGCTGGCCACACCCTCCCGCCCACCCCCCCCCCCGGTTTTGGAGAAGGGGCCTAACCTTTCTGTGAGCATCTCAATGATGTTTCGCAATCAGCGTTCAAAGGGCAAAGGGCTGAGCCCTCTCAGCCGTCCCCATGTCTTACATCTCCCCGTGTGAAGGCTACTCTCACTCGGCTTTTCCAAAGGTGATGTTCAAAGCCTCTGAAAGGAAAAGTGCAACTTCAACTTTTAAACCTGGCCGCCCAATGGGCCCCCAAAAGGCGCCTCTCATCTACACGGGTTGCAAACATGAGGGAGACCCGCAACAATTCTGGGGGTTGATTCCCCATTCTTTTCAGCCGTCGTTCTTTCAAAAACCAGCCATTGCCGAAGAAGGATCCATGAAAAGAATGGGAAAGCAAGGCTTGAAGCGGCTCCGGTTGCCTTTCAAAGATTGAGGTCGGTCAAGAGGAGTGGTCAAGGGGACTGGTCATCCCTGTATGGAGAGCCCCCTCTATGGAAGTCATGACCAAGTCTCAACTATCTAGCTTGGCAATGGCAAGTGGCAGTTGAGCACCCATCAGGGCTTGTGCCTTCTGCCACGGTTTTTGTGTTCGCCGGAGTGTTGCGTCCAAGAGTGTTTAGGCGTTTGTTTCAGAATTGTATACGTTCTATACTTGAGTATTTGGTAGTATCCTCCTTTTCCGAGTCCGAGAGTGGACCCACTTGCAGTGAGTGACCTTGGGCAGAGGGAGGGAATCTTCCCAGACATCCTGTGAGGACGTCAAGTGGGACGTCACAACTTCCAAGGACTTGTGTTTTGTGTCACCTCCACAGTTCGTTTGCCTGTGAAATACTGAGGATGGACGAACTCCTGCACCACTTTGAAACCATGGTATTTACAGGGGGAATCATCATTCCAGGGTTTCTGAATGGTGGTGCGAAATGGACTTTGTTCATCCACAGGTCAACAGGATGGGGTGTACCGACCTGGCGGTCAGCCATTTGCAGCAGGAGCTGCAGATGTGCGTGCAGTTGCTGCGATGCAATGGCTTAGGCCCTGTGCCCAGAATCCAGCCGGTTGACTAAGCCTTTGTTTTGAATCAATGATATTGACGCGGCGGATACGCTGAAGAGTGAAGGCTACCTTGCAAGTCAGCCCAAGAACCTAGTTCTGGACAATCTGTCAACATGAGTTTCAAGCAGCATGTTGGCGATGGTTGTTTGGACTGGCTTGGGGCTGTTAAAGCAACACTTCTGAGTGCGCAACTGCCTTTAGGGGAAGAACAATGAGCAAGAATCTGAAGAGCTATTGATCGAATCTTTTCACAGTTCTCATACTTCCCTAGGTACCCAATCAAACTGACCTGGTCCTCTCTGGATTTGGCTCCGATCGAGGGAGCTCAGCAGATCGGCCATGCACCCCCTGGAAGCTGAAGGGGAAATGCGGCTGAAACCAGCCGCTGACACGCCCAAACTGGAGGAGACTTTGGAGCCCGAAGCCCGATGGTTCCCAACTGATTTGGCTCGGAACAACTAGCACCAGGAACAGGATTTTTCCCTTGCTCTGGGCCAGGGGTTGCAGTTTTGATGGCCAAGGACTTTGAAGGGCGTCCCTTCCACTCATGAGGACTCGCTTTTGGAGGACCAGAACAAGTCTTGGACTGGGTCTCAAGATGGGGGTTCCCGGTTCCCCCTGTTGGGGTTGGGAAACCAGAAGGGCCCCTTGCCACTTGAGCAGTGTTCTAAACCCATGGTTGTGATGGGTTGTTCTGCCCTACCCCCATGAAGGACATCATTCTCACCCTTAAGGTTTTCACCTCAGTGGGGGGGGGGGGTGGGTGTGTTTCCCTTGCCGTGCAAGGGAGTTTAGAGTGCTGCTCACAAGAAGCGGCCACAAAAGCCCTGGCCACCAAAAGCCGCGGGGTTTCAAACCCGAGGCTTCCGGAAGCCGGACCCCGCGGACTTCGTGCGCCTCTCCGACTCCCAGGTGGGCACGTGGCACGCGTGTGGGTGAAGGAGTTTCTGCTCATCAATGGCTCACGCAGGCGGAGATCTGATCATGTGGTCGTTTCTGTCGTGTTGGCAAACATGGCATAATGGGCCCCTTGGTGGGATCATGATGGCGGTCAGTGATGCTTTCAGAATGGGAAATCATGTTGAGCACCAGAGATGTTTGTACTTCCTGCATGACTTCTATGCTGAACCGCTCTCCGGTGCTCTATGACATTCAATTCAGGGACGATTTTTTGTCGAACAAGAGGGGAGGTTTCTGAAGGGGGGGGTTGTCTCTAGAACCTGTCAGGTGAAGGAGTTTGACGAGAGTGTCAATGAGACCGCCTTCATGATGAAGAAGGCTAGCGGCATGAAGCAGAGGGCACTTGTGCCCAAAAAATTGGCACGGCTCCAGACCTTCCTTAGCCAGCATCGGACCGTGGCATGAAGCTTTCAGGGACTTTTCTGAAACGGGCTGACTCTGTGTCAGCTGGTCCTATGCTGATGGGCTGTGGACACTCCAGTTGTTTGGACATGTGTCTCACCAGGACGAGGAGCATCAAGAGAGGATGAATGAAGTGTGGCGCTGCCGGCCGGTTTGGTTGCGAGTCTCAGGGTTCCTAGAAGTCGGAAGGCACGTTTGCGGGGGATGTGAGTACTAAGGCACTCGATTGGGAAGCTGCCTGGCACTTTCTAGGCATTGCAAGGAGAGCCAGACAAAATGTGAGGCTCATGGGAGTTGTATCCAGAGCCGCAGCAAGGCTTGCTGGCAGAGCTTTTGGAGGAGACGGCAATGCGGGTCTGCCTCTCTATGTGGGATTCTATTCATTGGGCAAATCTATATATATAATATATATATATATATATGTATAATATATATATATATGTATACTATATATATTTATAACTATATATATATACATATATAAAAATATACACGCATCTAATATTCGGCTTTTGCAAACCACTCGGTTGGATGTTTAGAACAACCCCGCATCACGCAATCACTGCTTTGGGACTCGGAGGGCCCTTTTTGTGGATGGGCGCCTTGACTGCCCAGACCGGCGGCAGTCAATCCAACATTTTGCTCGGGGCTCAAGAAATTGGGACGTACCCCTTTCGCATCAAGTGACGGATTGTGGTCATGCCACACCCAAGAAGCTTCACACACGCAAGGGCGGGCGGAAAAGCAAGTTCGCGGGGGCAAATCTGGAGCGCAATGGCAAGCAACCCGGTTGTGAGGAATTTCCCATGGCTGGAAGATGGCAATTGCTTGACCGGTCCCATGATAGAATGAGACTCCGGGATGACCTGACAGTAGAGAACTGACCTGCCAGGGCAAAGGCAAAGAAGCTGGCGGACGCGTGATTGAGGCGAGGTCTTTGAGGGTGAGCACGAGCCCTTTGGCAATTTGGGTTCAAGGGCTTTGATGTCTCACGTGGAAAACCACGGTGTTTTGTCCGATTTTGACTACACTGATGTGTTGGTTGCAGGAGTTGCGAACGCGCTCCATGTTGCTGGAACATGATCGCCAAGCGCGTTTGCATGTGGGACAAGCGCGTTTGCATGTTGGACATGTGGCCAGAGTCGACTTTGCAGCGTCTGCAAATGTTTCTTTTCGGCCCAGCGGCGGCATGCCGTAGCTCAAGCCACGCTGTAGCTCTGAAAATCTCAAAACCGCGCCGTGCCGGAGCCCGAGCGAGCGAGCGGCGGCATGGGCGCGAGCTTTCTGGGTTGTCTGCCGCTAGTGGTTGGTGAACATTTGGGGGTCGACCAAAATTCCCCACAAGGCCCCCAAATGACCATGGCTAGCTTTCCCCATGTGGCTGTGGCTCAAATAAACATACCAAAATTGAACCTTGGTAAATGGAACCAACGGCTAAAATCTGCCGTAGCCCTAGCTGGTTAATTTTTAGTTACATGTGGGAAATCTCATTTGTTTGGTGCATTTCCCCAACGGACATCCCATGTAGAGGGGCCCTGTCCACCTGAGAGTTCTTCGAGTCGAGTCGTGAAGTGAGGAGGCGCGCTCTTCATATGGCGTTGCGCCTCGGCTGCGGTTCTCTCGCGCGCGTGGGCAAACGCCCTGCGCGTTTTTTTTGTGCCGTACTGACACCTGCAGGCCGCATTCTTTTCTCGGCCAAGTCGCTGGGGCGCACATGTTTTCTTTCCAGCAATCAGCCAAAGGGTAGCCTCTTTTGGGAGCAATAATTCCAGGGCCGAGATCTTTCGGCGCGTGTTCCCAAGGCCAAGGTTGGCTGCCTTGGCATTGTGCTGGACAGCCGCCGCCAACGAGAACCCGCATTTCAGTCGCTTGGCGCGTGAAGGCAGAGAGGAGCTGAAGTAGCTCATTAGGTCTGACTCCCCCCTACTCATAGGTGTCCTTTTTCTAGGATGTTTTGTTACAAAAAGCAGATTGCGTTCCAGGCTGACCTGGTTGTTGCAAGGGAAATCCATCTTTTGTCAACCAAAAGGACACCTGTAGTCCTGATATTCCCGGTTCATCCCTTTCTTCGACCAGGAAGGAGCTTGAGTGCACGAGAAAGTGGGGGGCTCCAGCTGTTGGTCAACCCGGGAGGGTAGACCACGGCGCTTGCTCCAGCATGGTCAAATCACTCGCCTGTGTGCTGTATACTCAGTGGCTTTCTGAGCTTACTGTTGCCCAGAAAAGAAAAGGTTGGGTTCGGTGTTCTCATGCGGTCTCCTTGCGAGCTCACCAAAACAAAATCAGAGGTCCCCGATTTTCTGTCCAACACGTGACTTTTCCCCATCCAGATCTGAGCGCTGTGACCGAGGTAAGGCGAAGGCCGGGCGAGAAAATTCCGGCCAGTGGGTCGGCAACCTGCTCGGATGAGGGAAACCGAAAGGAGACCAACCGTTTGAGGGGTCCAAGTCCTCCAAAAGCATTTTTTGCGTCAAATCCAGAGACCACTTTGGTAGATCTTGAGGAGCCGAGAAGCTGTCGAAGCCAAGGTTCATGGTGCCCCCAAGCTGCCGTAGTTGAGACATGTGGCCCTGAGTCGATCCATTGGAAGTGACAGGCGTTTTTTTTTTCTTCCCCCAGCTGTGTGACTGGGCATTCTTCTTCTGGACGTGCGGTTTTTGTTAACATGGTACCCTTGTTGGCCACCATGTTGGGGTCCCCTATTGTGGCGAACTCTTGAACCCTGGGGGCCGCTTCTAAAACGGGACCAACATGAGACCAAGTATCCTGGACTTTGTTTAGCCCTGCGTGGTAAATGGAACCGAGGGCTAGAACCTGTCCACACCCTGCATGTTCAATTTAGGGTTTGAGGAAGGGACACCGAAAGGAACACTCCCAATCTGGGGGTTCGATGAGACAGGCCCCATATCTCCTTTCCAGACCGGATCGATCCATGGGCCGCTTCGCAAGGCCGTGCACCGACATCATGAGGCACACGCGGCCTCGCAGGCCGTGGGGTTCCGTGAGTGGCAGTCTGGCAGTCTGGGCTCCAGGGTTTCCAGCACGGCCTAAACCATAGGGAGGGGTTAGAGGGGTGGTTTCTCCTAGAGGGTTTTTCGGGAATCTGGGCTGATGTTTCCTCTTTAAAGATCGCAAGAGGAATCTCACTTGGCCCAGAAGGTGATGCTGAAGATGAATTCAAAGGGGAGGGAGCAAGGATGATGATCCGCGTATGGGTGGTCAAGATTCAAGAGCTAGAGCAAGTCGCAGGTTTTGGTCTTCGTCTCCATTTGCCAGGGTGCATGTTGTGTGGCCTTCTTGTTAGCCACGACCATTTGGGGGGTTGATCGAAAGGTCCTTTAATACCTGGGACGACCATTGGAGGAAACCCATGGGAGAAGTTATCCATGTTTGGGGGCCTTGTCGGGAGTATGGATCACCGCCATATGCTGCAGTATCAAGTTCGATTCCAGGCTGTTTGCTTCTGTTCAGTCTGATACCAGCCAGAAGAGGAGATGCGGAAGCGCCAAATTCTTGCCTGACCAACATGCCTTTCCCTCTCTAACTGGGTCCTTTCCATTTTCAAAGTGGGTCTGATCTAGCAAGGCTCCAGTTGAGCTGTCCAATTGATTTGTCCAGGGTGAACCTATACAGTTGCAAGGTTGCAAGTGATTCGTGAGCGCGGTGCGCAGCACGGGCCGCCACAGCCTCCTTTTTTGCGGTGGCGGACTCTTGCCGGATCCGTGCTGACGCTTGTCTGCACAGCAGGCCATCTCCCCTAGGCCCCTGCCCCCCTATAATGCTGCTCCAAAATCCGAATCACCACAGCATTGTCCTTCGGACCGTGTTCCATCACCCACCTTGGGCAGCAACTCTTGAAAGACATACATATTCTCCAGTGAATGTTTTGCGAGCAAGTAGCTGCAATCTCGCCTTGCGAGCTCTTTCAGCCCGATCTTTTGGAAGTGCCCCTTCACTCTTGGCGAAGCGCAATCCGGAGCAGTAGACCTAAGAAACATGAAAATGTCTTGAGAGGGAGAGTAGTGGAGCTGAAAGATTTTAAGCAGCGCCCTATAATTTGGGCAAGCAGCTGAGTGCAGTTTCTTCTTGATGGTTGCGTCGGTCCAAGCTTTGCTTGTTTCGGTCTGTGTTTCGCCCTTGCGTTTGGCGAGCGGCTGTGTCTTCTTCTGCGCGCGCTTCTTTTCGGTTGGCTTGGGCTTGTTCGCTTCCCGCGGTTTCTTCTTTGTCTTCTCCTTAGTAGGCATGGCTTGCTTGTCTCCCTCAATTTCATGATGCTCTTGTTCCTGCTTATTTTGCGGTGTGCAATCCTGATGCCCGTGCGCTTGTTCCTGCTCATCTTCCTGCTCATTTTGCGATGCGCCGTCTTGATGCCCTTGTTCCTGGTGTTGTTTCTGGAGTTGTTTCTGGAGTTGTTTCTGCGTGAACCTGGTCTTTTGCAGAGACTTGCTGTGGCTGCGAAGACGCAATCTGCTGTTCCACCTTCTCTAGGGCGTCGGAAACGGCTGCGTTGGCGGCGTTCAGGAGCCATGAAGGAACTAGCTCATACTCTTGAGCTTCTTCCGGGTTGAGCACCGTAGGCTTTTCGGGTGAGCCGTTGTCATTGTCTTGCTCTGCGGAGCTGAAGTCCAGCACGGTGCCTCGAAGGTCCTGGGCGAAATCGGTTTAAACAAATGGGTTTTAAGACGCACCATGAAGCCTAATCAAATACAGGACACATTGGGTTTGGCTTTGGCAACCAGAATTTCCGGCCTTGTCATCACACACAGTATGGTCAGCCTCCTTCCCCTCCTTAGTTAGGTTCGCTGAAACACGATTTGCGTGACCTTTCTATGGCGCAAGCTGAGGACTCGTTGGATGGAAAGCTCTGCAAGGCACGGCCACTGAATTGAGCCGCGTGTCGAGCCCAAGCTGGTTATCCGGAAACAGGTCCTTTTCCATGCCAGGAGGCAACTCAGGCCCATAAGGTGTTTCATCGCAATCGCAGTCATCATCAGAGACCACGAAGGCATTCAAGCGCCGAATGTTTTGCTGCGGGGATGCGCCCAAATGCCTGTCAGGAAACGTTGGACTAAGTTACAGCGCTATTGCAACATCTTGTCTTGATAAATCGGGCCAGGTGCTTCAACGGGTAGTCCCTTTGAAATAACAAGTCGCTCACATCCTTCTCAAGCTTGTCTTCAATTTCATGTTGGAAAGGAAGCGGATCCTCCTGCGGTTGGGATTGGGCAATATTCCACGCAAACCTGAAACAGGAAGCAGCCGCGCATATCCAAACACGGGGGGCTCTCAGCTCTCCTGAAGAGTGTCTCTTTTCTTGCCTTTGGAGGCAGGCTTCTTCTGAACAGATTTTGACTTAGAAGCTGCTTTTTTCGGTTTTGCTTTTTGGGATCTTTTCATGAGGGCGGCCACGGGCATGCGCCGCAGGTGGCGTAGAAGAAGTTTCCCGAAGAACGCGGCTCAGGTCGAAAGCCTAGGATAGTCTTTGCTAATTGAAAAACACAACACGCAAAGGGACACCCTGCTTTCTGAACAGCGGCTGCCCCCGCACAACCAAATTTGATAGTCATGGCACTGGCGGGGTCAACCTTACAAGGGGCGTCACCACTTGGACATCATCGTCCGAGCCATCAGGTGGAACAAACCCTTTCTTCATCGCTACCAACTTCTAAACAAACGGCGCTGGGCAAGCAGTGTTGCCCTCAGACCAATGCAGTCACGCATGCTGGCATGGCACAAGGGTGCACGTTGCTGGCATCCACATCACTGTTTTCGCACCTGACCCCATGTGACTTTGTTAACCTTGCGGAGCTGCAAGCACTTCGCGTGAATGTATCCTAGCAAAGGGCTGTCTTGAGTTCAGTAGTTCAGATTTTGCCCTATGGATTACTGCTTTGACACACTCAGAAATCTACACGTTTCTGAGACAACCCTTTGCATTACATTGAGCAAGCCCGCAAAACCAAAAGAGCATTTGTCGCAAGCTGCAGCTCCAAGATGTCAACCTTTGTTTCGAGGGTTGACTGAGCTACTGCGTGCTGCTGCTGACAGTCACTCATCAGTGTTTTCTGAAATCCAGACTGCCTTGCCAACCCCGCAGCAAAACATGAGTTCCTTTCACTGTGGGGCATGCAAAAGGCTTGTGAGACCCTATATCTCACACATTTCAAAACAGTAACTTGCATGCGCAGGGTCTGCCAAGGCATCAGGCTGGGGCTAGCTAGCTAGAACATCCTCATCACAGCGCCCTCAGGAAGATCCAGATTGCCGCTCAAGACTGCTGCAGGACGGATAGGAACGATTACTTTGGTACCGTCGTGGCTGGAGCTGTCAATCCTGACATGGCAAAAACACAAGCCCAGTTTTTTGTTTGGCAATCTTGATGTTTACAACCCTTAGTTTGCCATGTGGAATTTGCTGGGCAAGGCACCGGCACCGCCAAGCGATTTCGATCGAGGCCGAGTTCTTCAGGGATGAAATATCCACGAACGCCCCGAAGTTTTTGATGCTCCCTGAACTTTTGCCCTGCTTCTTGGATTTCTTCCTTGTTTTCTTCTTGTCTTCACCTTGGTCATCGTCTTCCTCCTTCACGGATTTGGGGTTGTCCAGTAGGAACACCAAGGGTTTGGTGTTGGTGAGGATCTCATCCGAGAGTGTGTGGTGGGATAGTTGCACTTTGACCTGGAAGTGAAGGGAACAAGAAGCACGGCCCCCGAAGCAATTTTCAAGCGATCAAACGACCCTGGCCTCGCCAATGTCCTCAAGTTCTCGTAGCAGGGATTGGAGAGTAGCCGGCGCGTCAAGGCACTGAATCTTTACGTGCTCCGGACATTGCTTCCGCTCCAAAATAATAAGGGTCTGAAGGGTCGCGTCAAACGAAAACCATCTTCCAGCTCCATTGCCCTTTGTGACCTCTGTCGCCTCCTAAGATGTCAATTCAACGCAGAGCTTGTTTCCTCTTGCGCTAAGTTAAATCAAGTTGCGGGCCCATCTCTCCACTCTCCCGAGCCGAAGGAAAACCTAAGTATACCATTTGCGTTGCAAACAATTCTTGTCCTGGAACACCCCGGACCCCGGATGCTCTTAACAAGCGCGGCGCATCTCGCGGTGCAGGAGGAACTGGTTCCGGCTGCTCGAGACGATGAACAAGGCGTCACCGCCGTTGCCGGTCACCAGCTCGCACGCATTGTTGATTGCAAGGATATGCCTTGGTCATTTTCGGATGGAGTGTTGTTCCGGGGGCCTCTTGTATCTTGTTCGCAAGCCAAAGTGGTGGCAGGGGGAGTATCTCGGGAAATTAAACGTTCTGCAGGGTTTTTTGAAGGTGGCCTGGGAAGTGCTTTTGAAGGGAAAAAAACATCTTACTGGGCCACCCTCTGAAAATGGCTGGTGGTGGCACAAGGGGTGCTCATTTCGCTCGTGCACGGGGACGTCAGCTGCGCCACCTCCTCCTTCGTAGCAGCAGTTCCGTCCTCGAGCTTGATCCGCTTGGCAGGCCGCTCCTCCGGCTCCGACGTCCTGCGCTAGCACGCATGTGCCTATTCACCTAATAAATTATTGGTGCTTGCCGACGTCCCACGCGTCCTGTTTGCCACCCACCACTCTCCGTCCGGGTTGAACTGCTTGTTGTGCTCGGTGATAGCTTCTGTCGCTCTATCTTTTGTTGTTTCTGATTGGGTCCATTTGGAGGCTAACGCCTCCAGCACAAGCAATCGATCGTGCTGCTGTGCGCAAACACGAAACTCTCTGGTTGGCTCGCGGTTGGGCCCTTCCCGCAAACCTTGGATTATCGGCTCAAATTTCGGGAAGGACGGCACAGAGAGTTTGTCGCTTCGAGCCAGGCTGTAGACCTGGTTGCCAATCCGGCTCACCAACTCATCACCGGGCATGTCAAGCACTATGGTGCCGCACAGGGTCGTCCTTCCTGCCGCCAGCTCCTGGAAGCAAGCGTGCGAGGGAAAGCGCATCGAGGCAATGAGTTCAATGAGTTA